CTGGGAGGCTGCTGAGGCCAGCAGCTCCTGGAGCCAGACCTGCCAGAGGCCACATCTCCAGGGCACTGGCACGCGGCTGGGGGAGGGTCCCGCCCCTGCCTGGGTCTCTCTGGTCTCCACATGCCATGCCCTCAGCCCTGTGGGCCCGCAGGCAGCTGAGACAGAGCGGGACGTGGTCCTCAAGCCTCCGACCACACAGGTGCTCCAGCGCCCTCCTTCTCCCTGCAGGCCCCTGCCCCCACCTCGTTCCTGGCTGTTTGGGTCCCGTCACCCTGAAGTCCCCAGCAGCCCAGGCCAGGGGGGACGGTCAGTCGGGCAGGGTCCTTATCACCATGCGGGACGCCAGCCCGAGGCGCACAGTAGGAAGGAGTGCTCTGCCCTGCGATGCTTCTCGTTGCCCCCGGCGGGCACCCCCAGCTTCGGTGGCCACCAGCAGCCTGGGCAGCAGCCTCGGAGGCTGTGAGCAGCACCGCCACCTTAGCGGTGCCTGGCTCCATCCTCTGTCAGCCCAGTGCCTGCGGACCCCACGTCCTCCTCTATGCAGTGGGGAAACAGACACCCACGTCATGGGGTCCCAATGAGGGCTGACAGCCAATACAGCAAACGGCTTCCTTACCGATCTCTGCAGCCCACCGTACGGTTTAGGAAACTGAGGGAGGGAGTGCGCGAGCTCTGCCAGGAAGGAAGGAGCAGAATCCAAATGCTGGGTTCCCACTGGGGACGGTCTAGAGGGAGGGGACCAGAGTGCCACTGCGGGGGACCACAAGGTACATCTGGCTCAAGCTGGAAGGGCTTAGGGAGGCCCTGGCTGTGCTGAGTCCATGTGGGTCCCTCCTGGGCTGCCCACAGCTGGGAGGCGACAGCCCCAGGGAGGCCCTGAGTTTGGGGTCAGAAGGCTTGGAGGGGCGGAGGGTGGGGGCCAGTCACAGCACAGCTGGCATGCTGGTCAACTCAGGAGCCCCGTCCACACCAACAACGTCCCTCGAGGGCCACGTCACAGATCACTGAGCGGCACAGCCATAAGGCACAGCACGGGAGGCTGGAAAGAGCTGGGGAGGCAGGGGGGTGCCAGCCACAGGCCACAGAGGGCCACGGTACCCCACCGTGCCACGTGCACAGCCCCCATCCCCGGTCCTCACTTCTGCCGGCCCTCTATATGCACCCGCCCCGCCACCCGCCCATCGTCCATCTGTCCAGCCCCCGCGTCCTCACACACTTCTCACACCCGCCACCCACCTTCCGTCCGTCCTGGTCTGGGCATCGCGGCACCCACAGACGTGCACAGGGGCAGAGACACATCTCCATGGCGTTGCCTGCACCCCCTCCTTGGCACCAGCTTCGGGGGGTGGTGGCAGCAGCCCTTGCAGAGGCCCTGTGTATCCTCCAAGGGGTGTGGCCTCTGCTTCCTACCTTCCCCCGCCTTGTGTCCCCAAGAGTGACCTAGGAGGAAGAGGTCCGCAGCCTTGCCACGGAGTGCGGAGGCAGTGGCTGTCCCCCGACCGGGCAAAGCCGGCCCCTGCACGGCCCTGCTTCTTATTGATCTCGGTGCAGCGGCTGCACGGGAGGGGCGGGCCAGCTGGGGTTCTGCAGGGCTGAGATAGGCAAGGTCATCCGCCACGGCAAGAGCGTGCCGGGCGGGGCCCGAGGTGGCCGCCAGCCCCAGCTCTGCGCACTGGGGAAACTGAGGCGCAGTGTGCTGAGAGGCCCGCTTGAGGTCATACTGTGACAGGGTCTGTGCTGGGCAGGACAGGGGCCCAAGTCTGACTTCACTTTGTGCCCCCAACCTGCACCCTCCCAGTCAGGTTTGTCTTTGCCTTGTGATGCTGGGCTCACCCCCCAGACAAGGAAGGCCACCACTGTGGGCCCAGGCCCAGGGGTGTAGTATCTCAATTCACTGAACTCTCCTAGGAGTCAAGTTTGTTTTTTATCCCACGTGCTAGGTTATTTACTCACTGCCATTGAGTCAATTGCGACTCACAGTGACCCCTCTTTGGGCTTCCGAGGCAGTATCTCTACGGAAGTAGATTGCCCAGTCTTCCTTCCAAGGAGTGGCTGATGGGTTTGAACTGACAGCCTTCTGGTTAGCAGTTGAATGCCTTAGGTTGGGCAATCTACTTCCGTAGTGATACCGCCTTGGAAACCCAAGGAGGGCTCGCTATGAGTTGGATCTAACTTGATGGCAGTGTGTTTGGCTTTTGGTTTTTTATGTTATTTAAGGACCTCTGGTGGTGCAGTGCCTAAGGCATTTGACTGCTAACCAGAAGGAATGGTGTGTGTGGTTCAAACCCACCAGGCACTCCGCAGAAGGAAGACTGGGCAATCTACTTCCGTAAAGATTTACTGCCTTGGAAACCCAGTGGGGGTTGCTATGAGTCAGAATCAACTCAATGGCAGTGGGTTTGGTTTTTGCTTTGCTATGTTATTGAATGCGTGGATGTTCGACAGGGGTCAAGTTTATTTACCCATTTCACAGAGGAGGAATACGAAGTGCGGGCGACAAGCCACTTGCTCACAGTGCTGGGCTAATAGGATTTGAATCTTCAATTTTCTAAGCCCACAGCACCAGGGATCGGAAAGGCCTTGTTGGGTAGTGAAGAGTTAAAGCCCTCTTACCCCTACTTTATTAATCACCCCGTCCTGAACCTGAGCTCCATCCCCCCAAAGAATGTCTGCAGCCAACACAACACCCTGGGGTAGGGTTCACCTCGAGCCCCTTTCTAATCAAGGAAACGAGCTGGTGAGCGTGGGGCAGGGCTGGGAGCAGCATTTCCTCCTTCATGTGTGCCAGGAGGCCCCCAGCCGGGCAGTGCTGGGCACTGCCACATAAGACCACGATGCAGACGTGAGCTCAAGACACACCCTGGAAGTGGCTGGCCCCAGGTGGGCACCCTGCCACAGGTCATGTGCCAAAATGGGAGAGTTAGGCACCGGGGCCCACAAGCTGGCCCCAGCTGGCACGGGGGTAGCAGAAGGAGCTCAGCGGCCAGCGTTAAGTGTCCGAGACTCAGAAATTCTTTCTCAGGCAAGGCCTGCCTGCCAGTCTGGAGGGTTCCAGAACCCCGCCCCGTCACACATCACACACTCCCCGCCAAATGGCAATCTCCCGTGACCCCCACCCCCAGGCACTGGGGGCTAATGATGTGATTGCGGAAGCCCCACCCGGCCCCAGGCCACCACCCACAGCCCCCAGTGCCAAGGACTCAGCTTCCCCACAAAGCAGCCGCCAGCCCCTGCCTCTTCCTCCCCTTCCACCAGGCCATCAGCAGACACCTGACAATACCTGGAGAGTTCTGGCCTCACAACACTGGGGTCCCACGGCTAACCCATCCTGATGGGCAGAGGGGGCTGGAGTCAGGGGAGGCTAATGAGAAACGGACTGGTGGCTGACGCGGCCCTCTGCTGGGGGCATGAGGAGGAGGGCGCCTCCCTGTGCTAAGCACTTGCATGCCTCACGCCGGCCACATGCCCACCTGCCTCCCCATGTCAATCTACACCATTCCTCAGGCCCCTTCTCTACCCCTTACTGCTTACCGCTCAGGGACCAACAGCCCCTGGCCCGGCACAGAGGGCTCCTCTTCACCCCACACCCATCCCACTGCTACCACCTTGTCCTGAGTCCCATGCTCTGCAGGCAACCCACTGTACCCATGAGACCCTGATCTCCTTCCTGCACAAAGCCGCCCAGTTGCTGACAGGCCCAGAGCAGAGCCTGAGAGGACAAGACAGACAAGTACAGGGGGTCACACGTGGGGCACACATAACGGGAGTGCACAATAGGAGCTGGTGTTCACACTCAGGGCACGTAAACACTCTAAGAGTACACATTCTAGAAGCATACACTCAAGGCACACATAATAGGAGCACACATCTGGGGTGCATACAATAGAAGCACACACTTGGGGCACACACAACGAGCACACACAGCAAGCACACACAGTCGGGGCCAACACAACAGGAGCACACTTGGGGCGCACACAATAGGGGCACACACTTGGGGCACACACAATAAAAGCACACACATGGGGCGCACACAATAGGCGTATACTCACAGGGTGCACACAATAAGAGCACACACATGGGGCACACACAATAGGCGTATACTCTCGGGGTGCACACGATAGGAGTACACACATGGGGCACACACAATAGGTGTATACTCTCGGGATACACACAATAGGAGCACATACAATAAAAGCACACACAGGAGACACACAATAGAAGCACAAACTTGGGGCACACACAATAGGAGTGCACTCTCAGGGTGTACACAATAGAAGTATACACTCAGGGAGCACAGAGGGTGAATACAATAGGAGCACATATTTGAGGCACATACAATAAAAGCACACATGTGGGACACACAATAGAAGCACACACCTGGGGTGCACACAATAGGAGTGCATACTCAAGGCACACAGTATGAGTGCACACTTGGGGTTCACACTAGGAACACACATTTGGGGAGCATGCAATAGGAGCACTCATTCAGGGCACACACACACAGGTGGCCACGGCAGAGGAAGGTGAGCTGAGCTGAGCACAGAGGGGTGGCTGAGATGAGAACACACACTCAGAGTGCACACAACAGGAACACAGACGCCAGGCATGCACAATAGAAGTGCAAACTTGATACGAGCACCACAGGAATGCACACTCGAGTGTGAACAATGGGAGTGCACACAACAGAAGTTCATACTTGGGGTGCACACCAGATGAGCACACCCTGGCACACGGTAGAGGCACACACTCAAGGTGCGCATGCCACAGGAGCACACATGGACACACAGGAGCACACACATGGGGTGCACACTTGAAGCATACACTACAGCAATGCACGTTCGGAGCACACACAATAGTAGTGGGTGCTTGGGGCATGCACACAACAGGCACTCACATTTGATGCACACCACAGGAGCACACGTGGGCACACAGTAGGAGCACACACTCAAGGAAGCACACAGTAGGAGCACACCCCAATAGCAGCGCACACTTGGGGCATGAACAACAGGAACACACTCTCAAGGATGCACACCCTAGGGATATACAAAGTAAGAATGCACACGCAGGCTCTCCTGGCTGCTGGAGCCTAGGAGGCAGCCAGGGCAGAGGACAGTGATCTGGTTAGAGTGCAGCGGGCTAGCTGAGATGGGGTCTGGGCAGACGTGGGGACCTGGAGCCCACGCCAGAAACCAGGCCAGGGCGGAGGGTCAATTGTCTGCTCTAAGGAAGAAAGCCTGGGCGAGCACATCCTTCGAGCCCTCAGCGCTTGTAAAACACAACAGGCGAGGTGCCAGGGCAGTCCTGCCCAGGCCCCCAGAAGCCAACCCGCCTACTGGGGTCACCACAGCTGTGTCTGCGGTTGGGAGGAGACCAGCTGGACCAGATCGCACCCTTTGCAGGTAAAACCCAGCCACTTCCAATATCCCTGACCAGCTGTGGCTCCCAGCCCCTGTGGAGGAGATACTCTAATGTCTCCAGTAGTGCTCAGAAGTAGAAACCGAGCTGGAGGCTTGGAGGTGGGGGGCCACAGTGGGCACAAGTGCAGTGCCTGCCAGGACCATGGAGAAGCCCAGTAAGGGCTGGGGTATATGCGTGGCCGGGACAGGTGGCCTCCTGACTGCTAGGCCAGTGGGTTCCAGCACTTTCTGGGGAAGAAGGGATTCAAGTGACAACAAAGGACCTCACTGGAGTCACCAGGGACTAGTGGCTGAGGCCAGAGCAGATGGCCACAGGGAAGCACCTGTCACACCTACTCTCCATCGCACCCAACAAACCAAGGCACCTGCTTTTGTAAATAATGCAATATTGGCAAAAAGCCATGCCTGCTCCTTGACGTGTTGTCCGTGGCTGCCTTCAAGAGACCACAGTAGAGCTGAGCAGCTATGACAGAGACCATGTGGTCCGTGAAGATGGCGTGTTTAGTCTCTGACTCTTTATGCAAGAAGCATGCGGTCCCGGTTTGCCGCCGCAGCACCAGCAGCGGTGAGTGCCTGCTGTGTGGGTGTTGTCGCTTTCACTCTTGTGACAGCCTGTCCAAGGTCATTCCAACCCCCACTTACTGAAGAGGAAACCAAGGTTCACAGAAGGCCACCGTCCTGCTGAGGCCACAGGCCTGGGAAGGACAGAGCCCACAGAAGAGTCCACCGGGCCTTTCCGCAGGCAGAGGGCTGCAGGGTCAGCCAGGAGGCAGCTGGGGGAGGGCAACCCCCCAAGCGTAGGGCGTGGGGGCACAAGAAGGTGACCCCCTTGCAGGTTAAGAGAATGACAATTATTTTAATAAAGAGTTTGTCAGGAGGCTCACAATCAAACACACATAAAAGAGGACAACTTAAAAACACCAACAGAATAAAAGTGGTTATAAGGAACAGAGGGACCATGTCCCCAGGCCCCCTGGTGGGGGTGGCTGAATGAAAACAGTTCTCTCTGTTAGGGAAGGACAGAGATGATGGCTTCAGGGCCGACAGATCTGATGGGAGGAAGTTTGGGGCAGAGGTGGGGTGTGTCTCTGGGGCCACAACTATGGCTTCCTCTTGTCAATCCAAATTGCTCCCTGGGTTCTTGCTTCATCCCCCAGAAGGTAGCTTACTGCCTGCAAACATCAGAACCTGGCCACTTGGAGAGGTCACAGGACAGGTCAGGTGGGACCAGCTTCTCAGCCTTAGCAGAAAGAACTATTCAAGATGGGGCCCAGAATTGAGAGAGATATCAGAGTGCAGGGCTTCACTGAGGACCGGCTACCCTGGCCACCATGTGGCTGCTTGCAGGGGCTAAGCTTCAGGCATCCTGGGGGCCAGCCTGCTCCTATAGAGTCCCAGAGAGCGGGCTGTGGAGGTGTCTGCTACTGTCATCAGCATCACACCAGCCATGCGTCATGCCCTTGACTGCGGGCAGCCTTGAGCCCACCCGACCTCACACAGGGGCAGGGAGCCCTAGAGGTGAGCGGGCAGTAAAGAACACTCGGCAGACACCCCTGGGCAGCGGCTGTGGTGCACAGGCCACCCCATTCTGGCGGGGGTGCCTCGTGGTTGAGTCAAGCCTGCTTCACGGCTACGGAGGGGTTTTGAATGAGCCTCTGTTTCCCAGGCAAGGCCCCTGTCAGTGCACTGTTCTGCTTCAAACCCAGGTTCATATGATCCCAGCAACAGCCTGTGTTGCCACCCAGAGGTGGGGAAGGGTGAGAGGGTGAAGAGGGGAAGAGAAGAGGGATGGAGAGGAAACGGGGTATCATGGATGGGATTGTGTCCCCCCAAAATATGTCAACTTGGCTCGGCCAAGATCGTCAGTGTTGTGTGGTTGTCCTCCATTTTGTGATCTGATGTAATTATCCTCCATTTTGCGATGTGTTCTAAACCCTAACCTCTACATGTTAACGAGGCAAGATCAATGTGGGGTGTACCCTGAGTCACAGCCTTACTTAAGTCACACCCTTACTCTAGTCACATCCTTGCTTGAGTCACACTTCTTATCTTACAGGAGAGACAAGTGAGCAGAGAGGAGAGGGACCTCAGTACCACTAAGAAAAAAGAGCTGGGAGTGGGGTGTGTCCTTTGGACCTGGGTTCCCAATGTTGAGACCCTCCTAGACCCAGGGAAAGACTGATACCAACACACATGGAGATCTCCAAGAAATGCCAGGCCCACAGATGTTGAAAGGAGACAAGGACCTTCCCCCAGAGCCAACAGAGGAAGTTTTCCCCTGGAGTTGGTGCCCTGAATTTAGATTTCCAGCCTCCTGAACTGTGAGAGAATAACTTTCTGTTTGTTAAAGTCATCCACTTGTGGTATTTCTATGATAGCCACACTAGATAACTAAGGGAGGAGGAAGGGGGCTCCTGGCTTCCCTGGGATGACCCTGTCTCTCTTTCCTGAGAGTGTCATGCCCTCATCATAGTGTGTCCTTCCAAAGACACATTGAGGGTGGGTGAACATCAACCCCACTCTTTAGACAAGGGCACTGAGGCTCAGAGAGGCAAGGTGACCAGCCAGGGCCCCAGCAAGCTGGTGATGCCAGGAGACAGGACATAAAATCTGAGCCCCAGGACACAGGAGAGTGGGGCTAATGAACCCCACTATTCCCCCACCCCTGCTGTAGATGGCTCTCTGACCCCCAACAGTACCTTGGCCTCTGCCCAGGCCTTTTGTTCCTGTGAGCTGGCTGAGGGTGGGCCCTGGGCCCCGGCAGCTGTGAGCTTGGGTCCAGGTTCTGCACCCCTTTGCCATGTGGCTGGAGGACTTGCTAGGTGGCTGTGAGTCTCCAGCTCACATAATGACAACAGGATGGCCATAGCACAGCACAAGCCTTACGAGGCCAACAGACATCTCTGGCCTGGAAACCCCTTCAAGCATCCTCACTTGACACTAGGCTCTCTGCCCACATCCTGCTTCCCAGAAGGCACCGCCGTCCGTTGGTCTGACCTTCCTCAGCCCCAGCCTCCGATATTCTTCCAGGACCAGGACAAATCTCCATCCTTCCAGCCCCTCTGCCCTGAATGAGTCCATGACAGTAGACCCTGCCTTGTCCAGGAGTGACTGCAGCAGGAGTCCAGCAGGGAGGAGGGCACAGTGCACTACAAACACGGCCAAAGGCTACAGGCAGGTCTAGTGCGGTGGTCCCAACTTGCCTCCCGAGAGACCCCTGCCTGCACTCAGTGCGAATCGCCATTGCTTTGACACCAGCGCACTCAGGTCCTGCTTCCCTGCCCACCCATCACGTTAGAAGCAGCATGTTAGAACACAAGGCGGGAGACGTGTGTTAGCGTCCCCACTAAGATGATGGTGATGGAATACACCCAGAAGGGGCAGGGAACATGGCAAAGGGGGCTCCCTGGAGAAGCAGCCTAGAAAAGGGTTTCTACCACTGGCATCTGGGTGCCCCCAGAAGTGTCTCCAGTCTGATTACCTGACACGTGCCAGTCAACAAGCCCTACTTTCAACAGAGCTTCCAACCTTTCCAATGCTTTCCCTTTTGAGTATGACCAAAAAACCAAAGGTCACCAAGCATCTGGAAATGTCTCCAACGCAAACCAAGATGGAAAACCACTCTGGAGGAAGCAGAAATGATTCAGGAATAGAGAAAAGTAGGGGGAAAAATATCTGACTAGTATCCTCCTAGGGGTGGCAAAGGATTTAAAATAAGAGCAGGGTGCCATGAACAAGAAGCCATGAGAGAACAAGAATGACTGGAAATTAAAAATAGAATTGCTAAAATTAAAAAAAAAAAATCAATAGGAGGGTTAGAAAACAAGGTCAAGGAAATCTTTAAGAAAGAAAAACAAAAAGAGAAGGGGGAAAAAAAGATAAGAGATAAAAGATAAAAAGAGAATACAGAACCAACTTCTGTATTAGGGGACTTCCTGAGCAAGAAAATGGAGAAAAAACTTATCAAAGAAATAATACTAGAAAATTTCCCAGAGCTGAAGACCTCGCCCTCCACTATGCAAGCACAAAGAATGACATTCACAGTGCCATTTCAGGACCTGGGGATCAAGAGCAGTCCGAAGCTTCCAGAGCTGGGCACGAGCAACAATGCCCATCAAACTACCCAATGGTACACTGGATACCAGAAGACACCAAAATTGCATTGGCTTCAAAATTCTGAGGGGAAACTATTTTCAACATGAAATTCTGTACCCAGCCTATCAACTTGGAATGTACCTTGAAACATGCAAGAACTCGTAAAATGATTCTTCAGCAGACCTATCTTAGAAAGTTACTTGAGGATATGCTTCAGCCAAAATGAGCCCATGACAATGTGTGCAGCAGGAAACACTAGATCTCCCCTGGCAGCTGGTGAAGCAAAGTCCTGGGTCAGCTGAACCAGAGCCCGAGAGGAGACTTCCAGGTGAAAAATCAGAAACTTGTACAGCCCTGACATGGGGAAGAAGTAAGCATATGAGGGTAGCAGATGAGACAAGAGAAAAAATACAAAGTCAAGTGTTGTTGTTATATGCTGTCAAGTGTAGACCCCAGGAAAAACAAAAGTCTACACAAGAAAGGGAAGATCACCATAGCATCTCCCTGTGGCTTGGCACTGAACAGCATTTTTGTGACCTGAGATGGGAAATGGCTGTGGGTTTAACTATCCATAGGAAGAGGACCTCACTGGGTGGTGCAAATGGTTTGTGCTCAGCTACAAACTGGAAGGTTGATGGTTCAGACCTACCTAGTGGTGCCACACAAGAAAGTTCTGGCAATGTGCTTCTGTAAAGATTAAGCCAAGAAAACCCTATGGAGTTTTGACAACCTTTACACTTTTAGGTTTTTACATTTAGGTCTTTGATCCATCTTGAGTTCGTTTTGGTAGGTGGTGAGATACGGATTCTGTTTCATTTTTCTGCAAATGGATATCCAATTTTGCCAGCACCATTTGTTAAAGAGACTACCTCTTCCTTATTTAATAGGTTTTAGTTCTTTGTCAAAGATCAGCTGTCCATAAGTGGATCCTATTCCATTGATCTATGTGTCTGTCATTGCACCAATGCCAGGCTGAGTTTTTTTTGTTTTCTTTTCTTTTCAATTGTTACTTTTAAAACCGTATTGTGGTAAAATATATAACACAAAATTTGCCATGTTAGCAATTTTTTTTCTTTTTGTTTTTCATTGTGATTTGGGTGAAAGTTTACAGAGTAAATTCATTTTTCTATACAACAGTTCATACACACTTTGTTTCATGACGTTGATTGCAATCCCCAAAATGTAACAGCTCTCTTCCCCCTTCCTCCCTGTGGTTACCTATTCCCTGTGTCCTTCTTTCCTATGCATTCCAACCCTCTGAGCTATCTCCCTGTGCAAACAGTGCCCTTTTGATCTTCCAAGATTGATTGTTTTAAGGAGTATACCTACCTGAATAAGAGGCTGTTTTGACTACTGTGACAGTATAGTAGGTTTTGAGATGAGGGAGTGTGAGGCCTCCTACTTGTTCTTCATTAACACTGCTTTGCTTATCCAGGGTCTCTTTTCTTTGCACATAAAGGTGGTGATTAGTTTTTCTATCTCTTTAAAGAATGATGATGGAATCTGGACTGGAATGGCATTATATCTGTTTGGGTGATACTGACATTTTCACTATGTTATGTTTCTTATCCATGAGCATGGTATATTCTTCCATTTATGTAAGTCTCTTTTGGTTTCTTGTAGTAATATTTTGTAGTCTTCTTTGTATAAATCTTTTGTGTCTCTGGTTAAATTTATTCCTAAGTACTTCATCTTTTGGGTGGTTATTGTAAATGGTATTGTTTTCATGATTTCCTTTTCAGAGATCTCTTTGCTGGTGTAGAGGAATCCAACTGATTTTTGGATGTTGATCTTATATCCTGCCACGTTGCTGAATCCTTCTATTAGTTCCAATAATTTTCTTGTTGAGTGTGTAGGATTCTCTATGTATAGGTTCATATTATCTGCAAACAGAGATCGTTTAACTTCTTCTTTGCCCATTTGGAGGCATCCAAAAAAGTCAGAATAAAGGCTTATTTTCCCTTCTTCCTTATTGCTCTGATTAGGACTTCCAATACAACACTGACTAGGAGTGGTGACAAAGGGCATTCTTGTCCGGTCCTATTTGGAAGGAGAATATTTTCAGTCTCTTGTTGAGAATAATGTTGGCCATGGGTTTTGTATATATACCCTTAATTATGTGGAGGAATTTCTCTTCTATTCTAATTTTGCTGAGTGCTTATATCAAGAATGGATGTTGGATATTTTCAAATGCCTTTTCTGCATCAATTGATATCATCACGTGGTTTTACTCTTTTGTTTTATTTATGTGGTGGATTGTATTGATTATTTTTCTGATGTTGAACCATCCTTGCATACCTGGTACAAATTCCACTTGGTCATGATGCATTATTTTTTTGATATGTTGTTGGATTCTGTTTGTTGTTATGTTATGTTATATGCCGTCGAGTCAGGCCTTACTCCTAGCGACCCCTCCTTGGGTTCCAAGGCAGTATCACTACGGAAGTAGATTGCCCAACCTTCCTTCTGAGGAGTGGCTGGTGAATTTGAACCATCAGCCTTCTGGTTAGCAGTCAAGTGCCTTAGGCACTATGCCACCAGAGCTCCTTGAATTCTATTGGCTAGGCTTTTGTTGAGAATTTTTGCATCAATGTTAATGAAGAATATTAGTCTATAACTAAGGGATATTGGTGTATAATAAAGGAGTTGTAGTGGTGTAGTGGTTAAGGCATTTGGTTGCTTACCAAAAAGGTTGGTGGTTTAAACCCACCAGCCACTCCATGAAAAATGATGGAGCAATCTGCTTCCACAAAGATTTACAGCTTTGGAAACCCAATGGGGGTCACTATGAGTCAGAACTAACTCAACAGCAGTAAGGTGTTTTGTTTGTTTGTTTGTTTGTTTTTTGGTGTATAATAAAAAATAGGTACAAACTTAGGGGCTCTAATTCATGGCATAAATATGCTATTAAACATAACTAAAAATGTACAAACAGCAGAAGACAAACTAGATGAGTGGGACCTCCTAAGAATTAAACATTCATGCACATCAAAAGACTTCACCAGAAGAGTAAAAATAGAACCTACAGACTGGGAAAAAATTGGGGGCAACATATCAGACACGGGACAAATCTCTAACACTTACAGAAAACTTCAAAACAAAAAGACAAATAATCTAATAAAAAAATGTGCAGAAGACATGGACACTTCACCAAAGAAGATATTAACGTGGCTAACATACATGAAAAAATGCACACAATCATAAGCCATTAGAGAGATGCAAATCAAAACAACTATGAGATATCATCTCACACCAGCACTAATAACAAAGTTAAAAAAAAAAAGACAAAACCCAAAAACAGAATACAACAAATGCTGGCAATGATGTGGAGAGACAGAAACCTTCATACACTGTTGAAAATGATATGGTGCTTCCTTAAAAAAGTTGGAAATAGAAAGCAATCCCACTACTATGTCTATATTCTGGAGAAATATGAGCTGTGACACAACAGATACATACATACGCATGTTCACTGCAGCATTATTCACAACAGCAAAAAGATGGGAACAATCTAAATGACCCTCGATGGCTAAATGGACAAACTATGATACATACACACAATGGAGCATTGCACAATGTTAAATAATTTAATAATGATTCTGCAAAACACCTCATAATATGCATGAACCTAATGGACATTATGCTGAGTTAAATTAGTCAATCACAAAAGGATAAATACTGTACGTGACCAGTACTGTATAAAGTCAAGAAAAAGTTTACACACAGAAGGAATCATTCTTTGAAGGTTACCAGGGTTGGAAGGGTAAATCACTAACTAGAGGGTAGACATGTATGAACTTGGGTGAAGGGAAAGGCAGTATATAATAAGTGGGAGGTCAGCACAGAATGGTCAAGGCAGAGGAAGACCCTGGGAGAAGCACATGAATTAAAGACAACAAAGAGAAATACTACTGCACACATAGTCCTGTAGTAATAGTAATAACAATAATCCACAAATGGCTACACAGATAATACACAAGCTGAGCAGGGGAGGGAAGGTGGATGGGGTGACATCCATGGGTTTGACAGAGGCTATTTCTACAGATGTATCTGCATGTGCTTCAAATACATCCATGAATACAGCAGAGCACGCAGAGTTATGAAACCTTCTTAGCCACAACCAAATACCTTGAGGGAATGAGTGACTGGGCCCGGGGGCTCAGGGTCATAGTATCAGGGGACACTAAGGTCAGCTGGCATGACACAGTCCACAAAGACAATGTCCTACATCCTACTTTGGTGAGTAGCAACTGGGGTCTCAAAGTGACCAGCCATCTAAGGTGCAACTGTTGGTCTCTCTCCATCCAGAGCAAAGAAGAGCAAGGAAAATCAAAGACACAAGGAAACAATTATCCAAAGGAGTAATGGACCACGTGAACCCCAGCCTCCACGACCGTGAGACCAGAGGAACTAGATGGTGCCCAGCTACCACTGCTGACCACTCTGAAAGGAATCATAACAGAAAGTCCTAGAAAGAGTGGGAAGAAAATGTAGAACCAAACTCAAAATCATAAAAAACAAACAAACAAACACCCAGCCTTCCTGGTTTGCTAGAGACTGATAGAACCTCTGAAACTATGGTCCTTAGATACTTTTCAAGCCTGAAACTGAACTCACCCCCATGGCTCAACTTTCAGCCAAATGATAGACAGGCTTATGAGAAGAACAGTAACACCAGGGAGGTATGCTCTCATTAGAACCATCAACCATTAAAATAATAATAATAATAATAATAAACCTATGAAGCTCAGTTCTACCGAACACATGGGGTTGCTGTGAGTCAGGGGCTGACTCAGCGGCAGTGGGTTTGGGTTTTTTGGCTTTAGTAAGAAGATGACCACGCTGGGGAGTGTGGTAGAGGACTTAACCTTGTGCAAGATATTGTTGACCAAAATGTTATTTTTTAAACACCATTGCATATTTTGATACAGACAGCTCAGAAACAGAGATAGGTGGACATAAGCGTGAGTAAGAAGCAGGAGGAGAAAGAGGAACGATACAAGCTGGTTCAGCATCTCACTGCCTGGGCAGATGTCAGCTCTAGGACCAGGCACCGCTCACTGCGCTGCCTGTCTCCTGCTCAGCTGAGAATCGTCAAGGACACCTCCTGGGTTCCCTGGGATGCTCTGTACTCTGCCCTCCCAGCTGAGGTGCCCTCAAAATCCAGACAGGTTCCAGCCAGAGCAAACTCACGCGCACGGCAGCTGGGCTAAGCCCTCTGAAGGTAGGCGGCTGTTCTCTCAGCCCAGTGCTCTGGTAGTGGTGTGGTGGGAAACCAGGCCTCCCCACTCCACACCCACCTAGCCCAGCCCCTCTCACCACCAGCCTTGACCTGTAAGCTGGCAGGCACCCAGCACCAAAGAAACCCTGATGAAGGGCTCATCTCCTGCAGGCCCTCCCTGCTCCTCCTCTGCCCCATCTTCTCACTGTCAAGGCCACTGCCCCCTGTTTATAGGTCTGAAGCCCCCAGGACTGCAGTCTCTCAGGAACTGACCTTGCTGAGAGCACACAGGCTTCTCTAGGCTTCTGTCAGAGCCTGAACAGCACTCCTGCGACCGAACCCTCGGCACGCAGGCAGGACCAACGTGAATAAGTAATTGCTCTTTTATTAACGAGTGATAAATTATTCCTATATGATTGTGTGTGATAACTCTTCCTTATTTGAAATCAATTTGGGATGGAAATTGTCGGTGTCTTCTCACCATCGAGGGTGGAAGAAGCAGGCGCCGTCCCTGCTGGAAAAGCAGGTCAGTGTATTTTGGCTGCTTCCTGATGTGACAGGAGCTCCCAGTGGGCTGCGGGCGGGCAGCGGGGGCAGGCTGCCCTGGGGGCGGGGTGCCACCGACGGGGGCAGTGCTGAGGTGGAGACAGGGTGGAGGCCTGGGCAGCGGGGGGGCTCGGTGCTGCCTCCCTCCAGCCCTTGCCCACACCTCCCCCAAACAACTAGCAAAGCAGAAACATTCAAGCCCAGAAAAGGCAGTCCCCGGGGAGGCACCAGAGCCCAAGGATGCGGCTCCCAGCCAGCACCCAGCGGCCACGGCACCTTCAGGGGTCAGGAAGGGGCTGTCTGCAGGCATGGTCTGCTCACCCTGGCTCCCTTCACCTCACAGGGTTCACACCCAGACCCAGCTCCATACCCCAGCACCTGCCAGCTGGGTCTGCAGCCCGGATTCCAGCCCGAGGCTGAGCTTCGTAAGCCTGAAAAGGCATTTGCCTTTCTCTTAACCCCCTGTCCCCACCTTCCTTCCTACCCCCAGCATAGGAGGTCCCAGAGTGAGCCCAGGCCCTGGGTGAGACAGGCCCGGCTCCCCACCGGTAACTCTGGCAGTCCCCAGCCCCTGGGGCCTCAGCGTGAGCTGTGAAAAGGTCACTAAAGTAAGATGACATGCGTGAGGACTACACACAGCAGGTGCTCACTAACTGCTGAAGAACAGGACGACAGCGCTCCCGAGGGCCCCCTCGCATCTTGCAGACCTGCCGTCAGAACCCCGTGCTTGAGGCCCCTTTCCCGGCACTGCAGGCCTGGCTGCCCGGGACAATGCCCCCCGCCTGGCCCCCTGCTCTCCGCCCTCACTCGGCACCTCTTCCCATTAATGCACATTTCAAACGCGGTAATGCCACCTGGCCAGCGGCCAGCCACCGCCCTCCCCCTGGGCCGGCTTGGGCTACCCGCTGCTCCTTTCCAGAGCCGCTCCCACCCCCTGGCACTGCAGCAGGCTGAGCTGCCACCTGTGAGGCCAGGCCACCTCTCAGAGCCTGTGACGTGGCAGAGCTGGGTCCCGGCTCCCTGATGATCCCCGGCGGGTCTGGGCACGTTGGCGAGCTCGTTCCCCTCTCAACTTACACCTCTGTCCTGGCTCTGGAACCCACCCACTCCCCACATCCCCCTGCGGCTCCCCCACCTCCTGTCCACAGCCAGCCATGCCCACTCCACCTTGCACCCCAACTCCACTAGGCTGTGTCCCACGAGGACAATCCACAACTGTGACCCCCCCCCCACAGCAGGTGCTCCCTGAATGTTTGCTGAGTGAACGCAACACGTGTCCACCATACCAGCCAGGCATGGCCACCTCCAGGGGACACTCTCTCGGGACATGCAGCAGCAGGACAGCCATAGCCTGTGAGCCTCACACTGATGTCCCTGTGGACGGCTGCCACCCCCAACCCTCAGTACCAACAGCGGCTTCTCTGAGTGGCGCCCCAACGCTTTTACTTCTCTCTTAAAACGTTGATGTATTTTTCCAAATTTTCTACCATGAGCACAACTCGATCAAATCAGAATTTGTTAAGTGTTTTGGTTTGCTCTGTTTGTTTAATGTGCAGAAGCTGGAACCTACGGCCTTGCTCTGCGAGTCCCAGCCCTCGGGCTCCCTGCCCAGCCATGCTCGTCCTACAAATGGGACGAAGGCCAGGGCTTCGACTCTAGCTCTGCTCTGTGGGGCCTCAGGCAGGTCTCCTAACCTCTAAGACCTGCTTCCTCCACTGGAAACGACAGAACCCACCTCACAAGGCTGTGAGGGCACACACACTCACACAGGGCCACCCACATGCATGGTGGGTATCCTCCCAAGATACTGTCATTTGAGGGCTGAGAAGGGGCATACTTGGGCAGGGAAAAGGCATCAGCTAGGTCCACCGTGTCCAGCATAAGTGACCTCCAGCCCCTTGCTGGGTGACCTGAGGTGGGACATGACCCTGCCCTCAGCCTTGGTTGGCCTCGTAACACCGGGGAATAAGCACACATAGGGTGTGGGCTACCTCGAGGACAAGAGCCCTGGGGCCAAGAATACAAGGCAACATGCTGCCCCTGTTGAGACCCCTTGTCACAGCCAAGCCTTGGAGACAGAGCGATAGCCCACACCAGGCTCCCGGGATTAGGGTACCTGGGGATCCCTGGGCACCCAAACCCAGAATGACCCCACCTCCTGGAGCTCCCCGCCTGCAGGGAACAGTGATGGCAGCCCAAGTGGGTGGTCAGGGGTGCCTTCCTGGAGGAGGCAGTGCCTCTGCAGAAGTGGTCCCACAAGTAGAGACCCATGAAATGGGCCCTGGAGCTGCCCAAGCTGGAGCCACCCCTCCTTGAGTATCTGTGTCACATGTCCCTGGGGTCTCTGGCTGGGACAGAGGCTCTGTGGGAGGAGGGGGCGGGCAGGCTGTGGGATAGGAGAGGGGGCCCGGGGGGTGGCGGCCCTGACCCACCACAGGTCCCAGGCTACCCCGGGGCTGGCTCTGCTCCTAGCAGCAGGTGATGGAGTCCGTCAGGGCCACCATCTGTCTCAGCCGTGATGGTTCCTCGCAGTGACATCAGGAGGGACGTAGATGGAAAACCTTTATGGGGAGAGTTTTTCTTTTGCCAGTTTTCGAACAGGAAGCCAGACACTTGTCACACCTGTCCCCGTGTCAACTTCTGCCTGACATAAATTGGGGCTGAGGCAGGGAGTTGAAAGGCAGCCTGGACATGGCCCAGTGTGCAGGCCACGTGTCACACTGCCAGAGCACAGGGCCAGGTGGGGGCCACCTGTGTCCGTGGGCAGCCCCATCGGACTGTCTCTCTCCCGAAGCCTCTACACCTGTCCTCTGGGCCCCAAACCCCCAAAACCTCCCTTTGTTCCCCTCCTGTCCTGTGGCTTCCCCTACATGCCCCTCACTGGCCCCTCGTTTCCCTCCTGACACTCCCAGCTCCTCTGCCCATGACTGGCTTCTCCACCCATCCCATTGTCCCCGAGGCCTCCTGACGCCTGCTCCTGGGGCTCTGGCTGCTACAGGCCCCTCCGTGTCTAAGACCTGGTGAGACTGTGGCCTCGATGAGGCCTGGAGGGCAGAGGCCAAGACGGTGAGGACAACCTCTGGGCCTCAGAACGCTCACCAGCCCTTGGCACCTGAGCTAGTACTTCTCTCCAGAGCACCTCATAGCTGTGAGGTGTCTCCCTAGCAGCCTGGTGGGGGACGCTGAGGGTGGAGTGTGTTATAGGAATCTCTGGGTCCCCACTGCCCAGCACGGGGCCTGAGGCCAATGCCAGGAAATCTTTGCTGAGGGAACATTAGTGAACAGAGAAGTGGGTGACCTGGCTCCCCAAAGCTGAGTCCCTGCCTGGGTTTGCCCTTCTCGGGCCTCTGCCTCTTGGTGCCAGCCAACTCTGAGCAGAGTGTGCGATGCTCTTCCCCGGGACCCTGTAGATCCATCAGCCAGGCTACATTCGGGGACCCGTGCCCCGTGAGCCCACCCCAGGCTTTCACGTGGGAAAGGACACTCGGGGGTGAGAGATGCTCATGCCCAGGGGAACACGGACTACCTTACAGCTCCCTCCGAGGCCCCTGTGTGTCTTGACTGCAGGCCCCAAGAAGCCTGGAGCTGGAGGCCTGTCTGGGCTGTCAGGAGGCACTGGGAGCCACGGGGGAGGCTAAGCAGGGAGTGGCTGGTTAGCTCTGCGCCCTCCAAGGAGCTCTCAGAGGTGGCAGCCCTGAGGACCAGGATGAGGAGGGGTTGGACAGGTCAGAAGGAGAAGCGTGTGGGAAGGAACTTGGCAGACGGAGGTGGGGGCACTAGGTGGACTCCCGGTTTTCTGGCCGGGGTGTTGGATGGAGGTAGGTGGGGGCTGGGAGAGCTGGACACCGAGTGTCCTTGTCACCTTGGCCAGTTTCACAGCTTCCTGCAACCACTCTGATGGGCCTGCCCACTGCGCATCCTGGTGGCTGGCCCACCCTGCTCCTTTTGGAGTGGGAGGCCCACCCAGCCGGCCACAGCTGAGGACCCAGCCCAAGGACCAGGCAGGGACCGAGGACCAGCCCCTCTACCTGCACCACGAGTCAGGTGCAAAGTGGACTGTAGGGCAGGCACTCCTAAATAGAGGCCAGAGGATGGCAACTTCCCTTCCGAGTCTGCCTGTGGCCGGGACCAATGCCAGCTCGCCAGCTCCCTGCCGTGGGGACCCTGGCTGAGTTTCAGTCTCAAAAGAGTGGAGAACAGGGACTAAATGAGGCTCCCAGGTGCACCCTATTCTCCCCTCCAGACCCCCTGCGGGCCCTGTACAGCCCCGCCGCATCCTTCCCATCCTCAGCCTGTCCCACAGGTTCTATGCACTGCCTCCCCCTCGAGTGGGTGACAAGGACCCTTATCAGTGGAAGGACCAATGAGGGGACGCTTCAGATAAGACCGCCCCCTCTACCTGACCCGCCCACAGCCCAGTAATGGCTTCTGCTCCTGAGAGCACCCAGGGGTCCGCATGGCCTGCAAACACCTTTCCCACCTAGCTGCTTGTGGTTCTACCACCCCATCACCTCTGAGACTCCCTGAAAGCTGGGGGCCACGTGTCCCACTACAGAGTCTAGAGACCCCATCATCATTCCAGCCCAGGGCAGGAAATATTCTGGGAGAATTCCAGCCTGGCTGGGTAGGGAAAGGACCCCAGGAGCTGGGACAATCAGGACAATTAGGAAGTAGGTAGTTTGCATGATCGAGCCCCCAGCATACACCTGGCCCCGTGGGCAGCACTCACCCCCGATTCCACCATCACCATGCCTGCCTTATGTGTAGGGAGATCAGCAGGGTGGATGACCCATGGAGGTACACAGCTGACTCTGGGCTAAAGCCCATTTGGTCCCACACACCAGGCACCTGATGTCCAGCTGCCTCCACGTCAGGAGGCCTGCCTTGGCCGTCAGGAGGCCCTGGGGCGCCACGGGGGCGGCGGAGCAGGGAGTGACTGGTCAACCGTGCCCTCGAAGGAGCTCTCAGAGGCGGCGGCCTTGAGGATAAGGATGGTGGAGGAGGAGCTGAACGGGTCAGAAGGAGAAGTGTGTGGGAGAGAACTTGGCAGGGCCATGACAGATGGGGGTGGGGGCACTACGTGGACTCCCAGCTTTCCGGCTGGGATGCAGCGTGAAGGCAGGTGGCAGCTGGGAGAGCTGGCCGCAGAGTGTCCTTCCTTGTATCTTTGGCCAGCTCCATAGCTTCACAGTTCACAGGTCACTGCACAGCTTGGCCTCTGTGCTTTCTTTCCAGACTGAAGCCCTGAGCTGATGGCTCTCTTGCAGCCACCGAGGCCAGCTGGCCTGTGTGTGACAGCCAGTGGCTACC